TGTGGTAATGATGTACCAGGTGTGGTAATGATGTACCAGGTGTGGTAATGATGTACCAGGTGTGTTAATGATGTACCAGGTGTGGTAATGTTGTATCAGGTGTGGTAATGATGTACCAGGTGTGGTAATGATGTACCAGGTGTGGTAATGATGTACCAGGTGTGGTAATGATGTACCAGGTGTGGTAATGATGTACTAGGTGTGGTAATAATGTACCAGGTGTAGTAATGATGTACCAGGTGTGGTAATGATGTACCAGGTGTGGTAATGCTGTACCAGGTGTGGTAATGATGTACCAGGTGTAGTAATGATGTACCAGGTGTGGTAATGATGCACCAAGTGTGGTAATGATATACCAGGTGTGGTAATGATGTACCAGGTGTGGTAATGATGTACCAGGTGTGGTAATGATGTACCAGGTGTGGTAATGATGTACCAGGTGTGGTAATGATGTACCAGGTGTGGTAATGATGTACCAGGTGTGGTAATGATGTACCAGTGTGGTAATGATGTACCAGGTGTGGTAATGATGTACCAGGTGTGGTAATGATGTACCAGGTGTGGTAATGATGTACCAGGTGTGGTAATGATGTACCAGGTGTGGTAATGATGTACCAGGTGTGGTAATAATGAACTACTTACCTACTTGTGCTTACCTATTTGTGGTTGCAAGGATCGATTCATAGCTCTTGTCCCCGCGTCTTCACTGGTCGCTACAAGGCCCACTCTTTCCCTCCTCCATGAGCTTTGTCATACCTCTTCTTAAAGCTATGTATGAATCCTGCCTCCACTACATCACTCTCCTGACTGTTCTACTATCTGACAACTCTATTAATGAGTCACAGGGCTGTGACTGATTAGTAATAGAGTTTCCGACTTCCAGCTGTGACTCTTTGTTGCTGTGTCACATCTCTGATCCACCTTGTCATTTCCCCATAGTATTTTATATGTCGTTATCATGTCCCCCTATCCCTCCTCTCCTCCAGCGTTGCCAGGCTGAATTCCCTTAACCTCTCCTCGTAGGACATACCCCCTTAGCTCTAGGAAAAGTCTTGTTGCAAACCTTTGCACTTTCTCTAATTTCTTGACGTGCTTGACCAGGTGTGGGTTAAATACTGGTGCTGCATACTCCAGTATGGGCCTGACGTACATGGCGTGCAGTATCGTGAATGATTCCCTACTCGGGTATAGAAACGCTATTCTTAGGTTTGTTATGCGCCCATATGCTTCATCAGTAATTAGGTTGATGTGCGCCTCAAGAGATGTGCTCGGTGTGATTCTCACCCCAAGATCCTTTTCATTGAGTGAGTGTTGTAGCATTTGACCTCTTAAGCTGTACTCCGTCTGCAATTTTCTTTGTTCTTCCTCAGGCTTCAGCGACTCTGGGCTGTAATTTAATGCAGCCTGTCTGTCTCCTTTCTTAAAAAATTGGGACAACAATCTCTGTCATTCACACCTCAGGCAGTTGCCCTGTTCAGATAGATTTATTGAAGATTGTTGTTAGTGGCATACACAGTGCATCTGTTCCCTCTCTCATGACCCAAGGAGAGATATTATCTTGGCCCACCGCCTTCGAGGTATCACGTTTCCCAAGAAGTTTCTCCACCTCCTCCTCGGTTGAGTACAGTGTGTCCAGCACTTGCTGGTGCACCCTACCACCTCGGTTTGCTGGAGCATCTCTGTCTCTACTGTGAATACCTCTCTGAATCGTGAGCTAAGCCTCTCACATACTTCCTGCCCTGTGAGCTCCCCTCCTTCCTTCTTCAACCTGATTACCTGGTCCTTGACTGTTATTTTCTTTCTGATGAGGCTGTATAACAACTTTGGATTAGATTTGGCATTTGATACTACGTAATTTTCGCATTGGCAGTGGGCCTCTCCCCTTATACATGCATATTCACATCAGGCTCTTCGGTTCAACTCCCAGTTTTCCTGGGTCCTTTGCCTTCATTGTTTTTTCCATACTCTAGCACACTTGGCTTTGGCCTCCCCACACTTACTGGCAAATCATGGACTCACTCTGATCTCTCCATTGTTTCTGTTGCCCCTAGCAACGAACTTCTCCACTGCCTCCCTGTGCTTTGTGGTCACATGTTCCATTATATTATTTACTATCTTCTCTTCTAGTCTCGTACCTGTGTAGTCTCCTTTTCAGAGGCGGCTTCTCCCTTCCTTCTCGTACTGCTTCACTCTCCATTGTTAACTCTACTATGTATTCGAAACTCAAGACCACATGATCGCTAGTGCCTAGGGGTCTCTCGTGTGTGTGATATCCTGTATGTCTAAACTGTTCAAGGTGAATACAAGGTCCAGGCTTGCTGGTTCATAATCACCTCTCTCTTTCTCTCATTCTCTCTCTCTCTGGTTATGTCCCTAATATGCTCATTCAAGTTTTCCAGTACTGTCACATCTCTGGTCCCCCATGTGGATCCAGATATTCCCAATCTCCTTATGGTTGAAATCCCCTGTAATGAATAACTTTGTCCTGCTCATGTGACCCTTCTGGCAACCTCAGCTAATGGGTCCACCATTGCTCTGTTGCTCTCACTGTATTCTTGTCTTGGTCTCCTCCTGTTCAGTGGTGGGTTGTTCATCACTCCTATCATCACTTTTGAACCCCCAGGTTGAAGTGTTATGTAGTAATTTGCTACTCCTCTGACTAGTCCTTCCATTTCCTCAAAACTCCATTGGTTTTAGATGAGCAGTGCAACTCCTCCTTCCCCTCTGTTCTCCTTGTCTTTCCTCAGGATTTGATATCCAGACGGGAAGATCGTGTCTGTTATCATCCCTGTGAGCTTTGTCTGTGTGATTGCTATGATGTCTGGGGATATCTCAGAGATTCTTTTCTGCTACGTCACTCCTTTGATTTGTTATTCCATCTGCGTTGGTATACCATACCTTAAGCTTCCTTTCTAGATCTGTGTTCTGAGGGTGCGAGGGATTGATTCAGGCAGGTCTGGATTTTGTGGTAGGCTGCTGTTGCGATGGTATTAGTGCTGGGGAAGGGGGAAAGGATTGTGGGTGTGGAGCGTGGTTTGGTTCTGGTTATTGTGTGTGGTTGGTGTGGGGTGGTAGGAGTTGAGGGGATGCTGTGGGTGGTTCTGTGGGAAATTGTTTGTGCTCCTATGTCTGTCGATGCCTACCTTGTCCCCCCTTTCTGCCTCTGGCGCCGTGTATGTGTGTGTGTGTACTCACCTATTTGTGGTTGCAGGGGTCGGTTCATAGCTCCTGGCCCCGTAACATACCTGTGATTCATCTGAGTCTTCAACTTCCAATCGTGGCCCCTCGTTGTTGTGTTCCATCTCTAGAACATCCTGTCTCTGTCCACCCTGTTGATTCCTCTCAATTTTTATATGTTGTTATTATTTCCCCCCCCCCTATCTCTCCTGTCCTCCAGTGTCGTCAGGTCGATTTCCCTTAACCTCTTCTCGTTGGACATGTCCTTTAGCTCCGGAACTAGTCTCGTTGCAAGCCTTTGGACTTTAATTTTTTGACGTGCTTGACCAGGTGTGGGTTCCAAACTGGTGCTGCATACTCCAGTATAGGCCTGACGTACACAGTGTACTGAGTCCTGAACGATTGCTTACTGAGGTGTCGGAATGCTGTTCTGAGGTTTACTAGGCGCTCATATGCTGCAGCAGTTATTTGGTTCTGTTTGTGTATAATGTCAGTGTGTATCAGATGTGTTAATAACGAACGTGTGAGTGGTGTTAGTATGTACCAGATGTTGTAATAATGGACGTGTGTGTGGTGTTAGTATGTACCAGATGTTGTAATAATGGACGTGTGTGTGATGTTAGTATGTACCAGATGTTGTAATAATGGACGTGTGTGTGGTGTTAGTATGTACCAGATGTTGTAATAATGGACGTGTGTGTGGTGTTAGTATGTACCAGATGCTGTAATAACGAACGTGTGTGTGGTGTTAGTATGTACCAGATGTTGTAATAATGGACGTGTGTGTGGTGTTAGTATGTACCAGATGTAATAATGGACGTGTGTGTGGTGTTAGTATGTACCAGATGCTGTAATAACGAACGTGTGTGTGGTGTTAGTATGTACCAGATGTTGTAATAATGGACGTGTGTGTGGTGTTAGTATGTACCAGATGTTGTAATAATGGACGTGTGTGTGGTGTTAGTATGTACCAGATGTTGTAATAATGGACGTGTGTGTGGTGTTAGTATGTACCAGATGTTGTAATAATGGACGTGTGTGTGGTGTTAGTATGTACCAGATGTTGTAATAATGGACGTGTGTGTGGTGTTAGTATGTACCAGATGTTGTAATAATGGACGTGTGTGTGGTGTTAGTATGTACCAGATGTTGTAATAATGGACGTGTGTGTGGTGTTAGTATGTACCAGATGTTGTAATAATGGACGTGTGTGTGATGTTAGTATGTACCAGATGCTGCAATAATGGACGTGTGTGTGATGTTAGTATGTACCAGATGTTGTAATAACGAACGTGTGTGTGGTGTTAGTATATACCAGATGCTGTAATAATGGACGTGTGTGTGGTGTTAGTATGTACCAGATGCTGCAATAATGGACGTGTGTGTGGTGTTAGTATGTACCAGATGCTGCAATAATGGACGTGTGTGTGGTGTTAGTATGTACCAGATGCTGCAATAATGGACGTGTGTGTGGTGTTAGTATGTACCAGATGTTGTAATAATGGACGTGTGTGTGGTGTTAGTATGTACCAGATGCTGTAATAATGGTCGTGTGTGTGGTGTTAGTATGTACCAGATGCTGCAATAATGGACGTGTGTGTGGTGTTAGTATGTACCAGATGTTGTAATAACGAACGTGTGTGTGGTGTTAGTATGTACCAGATGTTGTAATAATGGACGTGTGTGTGGTGTTAGTATGTACCAGATGCTGCAATAATGGACGTGTGTGTGGTGTTAGTACATACCATTTGTTGTAATAATGGTCGTGTGTGTGAGGTGTCGTCAACGTGTACCGAGTGTAGCAATAACGTTTATGTCGGCAGGATCGTCAAGGGTTTCCCACCAGTGTCTCCATACATCGGTGTGAGTCCAACACTCTGCTACCTACTGAAGGAGAAGAAACCCCTCTGTTGCCTGCAGCTTGCTCAGGTAGGTACCAACTCTCTCACTACGACTCTACTGCATACCTAACCAACGTAGAGCCTTACATTGTAGTTTGCCAGCTCACTCATAGATGGCTTCATGTAAAGTGCTGCATAAAACAATAGTAATTTAAGGAGCATATTAAATTCCCCCGTTTTCTAATAACATGTTCATTTTTCCACTATAATCTACCTTGTCTATAATTACTATCACATTTGCTTTGTTTCGTAAGGTGAAGTCCAGGATCTTTCCTTAATTCATGGTATAACATAACAAATCTTTGAGGACAATTTGTGTTGCAGAGATCTGAGCTGTGCAACACAACTGTCCTTAAAAATTTGTTAAGTTGTACCATGAATTAAGGAAAGATCCTGGACTTCACCTTACGAAACAAAGCAAATGTGATAGTAATTATAGACAAGGTAGATTATAATGGAAAAATTAATAAGTTATTAGAAGACGGGGGAACTTAGGTGCCTCTTAGAAGGTTATGTCCAGATAAGAAATGCTTTTATCACATTCCTGAGTCATAGTGTTAGTGTATTCATCACTGTAAATACTCTCTCGTGAAACTGAGACATAATGATAAGACAGTGTTGTAGTGCACTTATTATAAAGTCTACTGTTATTTACAAGATTATTTTAATTTTGTAGACGTTGTCATGGCTCACGAAATCGTAATATCACGACTGCTAACAAAACACGGAGCGGTTGGGGGTTTGAACTCATGGCTATGGAGTAGTAAAACTCCAAGCCAGTGGTTAACGCACTGGCCTGTAAGTATTACGACTCACCATGGGTTCGAACACCACCCGTTCTGTGTGTTTTTTCCTTGTAGACGCATTTACTCATTTGAACATTATAGCTCCATCAAAAATAGAGGTGATACATAATCAGAATAACTTAATTTAAATTATAAACTAAGTTACTGAGCGTCATAGAAGTGAGCTGGAGACGTGAAGTGACATGCTTGACAACCTGAAGCTCAACACTGTAAAATAACATACAACCTCACGAACCTTAGAGGTGATTGAGACACTTATGCAACGTATAGGAATCTTTAGTTTTTTCTCTCAGTTCTGGTCACCGTATTACAGAATGGATATAAATGCTCTGGAAAACGTACAGAGGAGGATGACAAAGTTGATCCCATGTATCAGAAATCTTGCCTATGAGGATGGACTGAGGCCCTGAATCTGCACTCTCTCGAAAGACGTAGAATTAGGGGGGATATGATCGAGGTGTATAAATGGAAAACAGGAATAAATAAAGGGGATGTAAATAGCGTGCTGAAAATTTCCAGCCATGACAGGACTCGCAGCATTGGTTTCAAGTTGGAAAAATTCAGATTCAGGAAGGATATAGGAAAGCACTGGTTTGGTAATAGAGTTGTGGATGAGTGGAACAAACTCCCGAGTACAGTTATTGAGGCTAAAACGTTGTGTAGTTTTAAAAATAGGTTAGATAAATACCTGAGTGGGTGTGGGTGGGTGTGAGTTGGACCTGACTAGTTTGTGCTGCTGGGTCTGGTGCCGTGCTCCATCCTTGAGTGGAGTTGACCAGACTGGGTGGGTCATTGGGCTAATCCGGGGGGAGGACATGGACCTGCTCCGCTTGGGTCAGTAGGCCTGTTGCAGTGTTCCTTCTTTCTTATGTTCTTATGTTCTTAAACGTTTCGCCACACAGTGACTTCATCAGTCCAATATAAAGCAGAAAGGTATAAAGATGAGGGACTGATTACCTCAAACTCCTCCTCTCCTTACACCTTCTGCTTTGTATTGGACTGATGAAGTCACTGTGTGGCGAAACGTATCCTAAAAAGAGATTCCCATATATTGCATAAGTGTCTCAATCTTAAACTTGTCGGGTTTTTTCTTTTAAACCATTTATCACGACCTTAAAAAAGAAATCCCTAACAGTTTCGTTACGGAACCTTTATACAAGCGTATTAGTATTAATTTACAATAGTTTCCCATGTGGTAAAATAGATGTATTTCGGTCTCTGCGTAAGCCCAGAAAGGTATCCCTGTATTGCATAACCCCAGCCTCCTCTACTTCACTGTACACAAAAAGATTGTACACGAATGGTACACAATACCGACAAGATGAAGAATTAGACACATGTGCAACATCAAAGTATCTTTATTTGTAGACGTTTCGCCCTCCAGTGGCTTTATCAGTGCAATACAAGGACATAATGTCAGGACTGTAGGAGTATATACAAAAAACGAGGTATTCAGTCCCTCAGTCTTGGAGCAGGTGATGACCACCACAGTTTTTTAAGAATCTGGTCATCAGCTGCTCCAAGGCTGAGGGACTGATTACCTCGACATTTGTATATACTTCTTCAGTCTTCACGTTACGTTCTTGTCCTGATAAATCCACTGGCTGGAGAAACGTCTACAAATTAAAGATACCCAGATGTTGCACATGTCTAAGTCTTCACAAGAAGATTAGCGCAGCTTACGGCTTAACGTATTAAAGCTGAAGGTTTGAAGCCAGTCTGATTTTGTGTTCACAAGTTATCACAGAGAAACTAATATCTCAATTTTTTTCAATAACGATTTCAAATTAGGACATATGCAGTCCTAGAGGAATTCAAAACCTCCACTAAAAAAAAACACACCAGCTTTGACGCCAAACTAAAGAAGAATGGAATTATCTTACCACGGTACGGGGGGGAGTGAACTCGCGGCCAAGGCAAAGCTATTTGTCATAGCAGTTTGGATTTCCCTACAACCCTGGCTCTTTCATGGGGGGTTAATAGATGAATAAGTGAACTTCTGACATTCAACAAAGGTTTCATTCCGTCTTTACTGTTCTCGTCTTGAATCCTGCCAATATTAAATTCACTTGACTCGGACTCCCAGAGTATTGTGGTCGATATGGCAGAGTTTGTTTACGTTCCACGCCAGAGTTGCTAAACCATTTATCTATGCCTAGCATAAAGATGTAGAGTTTGTGTCCTGACCATGTTGGTGTCCCTAGTTATGAACGGGCGGATGCTGAGGCTATAGCTGCTCTGTCAAGTATGCTGTATATAAGACCTCTGTCTTCCAGTGTTTTTTTTAAACCACTTTCGTCAATTCATTCTTGGGGAGTGGCAGGTTTGGTGGGCCCTATAGATGAGCAGCTGCTTATATTCTAGAGTCGGGGTGGAAAGATCTAGGGGAGGCGCTGAGGAAAAAGGGGGCGGCAGGATGGCACCAGAACCAAGGGAACGTTTGTTTTACAGAATATATATGTCAAAATCAAAGTCGCGAACACATCATTATTCTCTACAAAGAATAATGATGTTGAGAAGTTGAGGTTCCTGCACCAGGAACATCCATCTCATCTCATTTGTTGTTCACAGTTTACATAAACGACATAGATGAGGGAATAAATAGCGACATAAGCAAATTTGCTGATGACATCAAAATAGGCCGTCCAATTCATTTTAATGAGGACATTAGAGCACTCCAGGATGATTTGAATAGACTGATGCAATGGTCGGAGAAGTGGCAGATGCAGTTTAATATTGACAAATACAAAGTTCTAAATGTTGAACAGTTAAATAACCATGCCACATATAAACTAAATAATGTAGATCTTAATACTACTGATTGCGAAAAGGATTTAGGAGTTCTGGTTAGCAGTAACCTAAAACTAAGACAACAGTGCATTAGTGTTCGCAATAAAGCTATCTGAATTCTTGGCTTCATATCTAGAAGTATAAATAATAGAAGTCCTCAGGTTGTTCTTCAACTCTATATATCCTTGGTTAGGCCTCATTTAGACTGCTGCACAGTTCTGGTCACCGTATTAAAGAATGGATATAAATGCTCTGGAAAACGTACAGAAGAGGATGACAAAGATGATCCCATGTATCAGGAATCTTCCCTATGAGGATAGACTGAGGCCCTGAATCTGCACTCTTTCGAAAGACGTAGAATTAGGGAGGATATGATCGAGGTGTATAAATGGAAAACAGGAATAAATAAACGGGATATAAATAGCGTGCTGAAAATTTCCAGCCAAGACAGGACTCGCAGCAATGGTTTCAAGTTGGAAAAATTCAGATTCAGGAAGGATATAGGAAAGCACTGGTTTGGTAATAGAGTTGTGGATGAGTGGAACAAACTCCCGAGTACAGTTATTCAGGCTAAAACGTTGTGTAGTTTTAAAAATAGGTTAGATTAATACATGAGTGGGTGTGGGTGGATGTGAGTTGGACCTGACTAGCTTGTGCTACTGGGTCTGGTGCCGTGCTCCTCCCTTAAGTGACGTGTCTGACCTCACTTGGTCAAGGCATTGGCTTAAGCCAGTGAGCGAATTGGAGCTGCCTCGCATAGGCCAGTAGGCCTGTTGCAGTGTTCCTTCTTTCCTATGTTCTTAAAACTGAAAACAATGTAGTTACAGATGAGATGAAAATTAACCCTTTCATATTGTTAAATAAATCGGTTTATCATGTTAATTATTATTTGTGAAATAAAAACGGTTTATACTGCTAGATTAGTTTTGAATTTGCAGTAAATCTGTGCCAAATATTTTAAAAAGAATTCTTCAGTAAAGGATTTATCACCTTAATGTTTATATATTGAGTGGAGAACCTGCGTTATGTTTATTGTATTTAACATATTGTATTTAACATATTGTATTTAACATATGAAGGTTATTATAACCTTGTGTGTTTTGATTGTTTCACTGCGCGTCGATATTAATTTTCTTCCTGGACTAACCATACCACGGATGGGGTTTGAACCCGCGGTCAAACCCCTGGACGAGTTAGTTTAACTTGCGAGTACAGTAATTCCAAGGACACATTGCGAACAGATCATGGAATGGGTGGGGTTCGAACCAGTGGCAAGCTAGTCCTAAAACTGGTAAACTAGTGTGTCAACCACTGAATTATACATCACTAACAAGCTTCAAGAATCATGCTAGACCGGCTTGGTCTGGTGGTTAACACACTGACCTTCAAGATTTAGGAATCACGCGCCATAGTTCAACCCCCACCCGTTCCC